GGGGGGGGGGGAGGGTGCACCATGGATCAGAGGTGTCTTCGACAGGGGGGCTGAGAGGGGCGTTGCTCGTGGCATGGATGAGTGAATGGCTAGGGGAAGGGTATGTAGGCTGCATTGGCAGCAAAACAAGAGGTGTATAGCTGACGAATACAGTGGGGCCTCTCATCATGCTGCAAGCGGCCCTGCGCCATTCTGCTGCTATCATGCAGGGCGCGGCACCATACACCCACCCCACCACCATGCATCCCGCCAAGTGCCCATCGCGCCGTGCTCCTGTTCAGCCACCCGCGCCCGCCCCACCTGCAGAGCGTAGATCTTCTGCCCTGGCGTCAGCCCCATGGTCCCCACCCCGTTGTTGTTGGCACTGATCGTGCCGGCCACCTGAGCATCATGGGGCCCGAACCGTGAGGGCCCAAGGTTATGACTCAAGGGGCAGAAACGCGCACGGCCAGCCCACGGCGGCACCCAGCAACCCGAGAGAAAACGATCAAACGCAGAGCCTGAGCTACAGCTGGCGTCATGCCTCAGCCCCGTGTGCGCCCGCCGCTGCCTGAAACTCCTCCGTCAAGGATTAACGCGCCATGACGGCGCAATCTCCTGCCCGTCTGCGCACTCCCCCCTCCAACAGCCAGGATGTCTCACGTGTGTGCCGTGCCCGTTCTCGTCCACCAAGGCGTTGCCCCCCGTGAAGGACTCCCCGCCCACAATGTTGCCCTGCAGATCCGGGTGCGTCCCGTCCACACCTGTGTCCAGCACCGCCACCACCACGCCCGCACACGCGTTCTGCGCCGTGCAATTTGGCTGAACGAGCGCCGCGTCGACGTAGCGCGTGCTCCACGCGGCGGCCCGCATCCGGAACAGCGGCATGGGGACCTCCCATTTCCCGCCCTTGGACTCCGACATGATCAGGTTTGCGTGGAAAACTTGGTCGGGCTCGATGTGGCGGATCTGGGGCAGCGCGCGGAGGAAGCCGAGGAGGGAGGCGGACGCCTGGGGCAGGCCGAGCATGGGCTGCGGCAGGCGGAAGGCGAAGCCGTTGAAGCCGCCCTTGAAGTGGGCGACGCGCTCGACGCCCTCAGAGCGGAGGGGGGCGAACAGCCTGTGGTGGGGGCGGTTGGGGAAGTGGGACGGAGTGGAGGGGACGGGCGACACGCAAAGGCGCACGGGATGGCTGCCGCGTACTGTGCTAGTGTACTGGCAGAGCTTCCAGGCACCGTACTCGGTCCGTCGCTTCAGCTCGCTCCCCCGACCGCTCGTCTGCCCGCTCCATGGTCTCCTACACCATTTCCCCCCATTACATGCCCTCCTCCCGCCGCACTTGTCTAGGAAGCTGCTTGTGTTGCGCACATCGTCATGAAACGACGCCACAAATTGTCCGGGGATGATCCTCGGGAACCCGGGGGCTGCCGGTAGCGGGGGTTGGGCGTGGGGGGCATGTGGGGCGCACCTGCTGCAGCGGGCGCGCTGGCGGCGCCCCGAATCAGTTTGCACTTGCTCTTCAGCTCGTCGATAATGGTCACGCATACTAGGGACTCTCCAATGTTGTCATCAAATGAACAAACCCAGGTCGCCGAAAGGTATGCATAAGCCTGTGCCTGGCTGCGGTTGCGTGTGCTGGGCGTGCTGAGCCGCGGCGGTCTCTCACCCTTGATCCAGGCGTCCGTGACGTTGCCGCCGCCGCCGGCCTCACGCAGCCGCCTGACGCGTGCTGCACCACTGCGCTTCTCCGTGGCACCGGGGCCCCCTGCGCCGCGGTGCGCGGGCCAGGCGGGACGCAGCGGCGTTGCGCGTAGCGGCCGCGCGGCTGAAGAGGCGCTGCGGTTGCATTAAGCGCACTGGCGCCTCGATTACGTGAATAATTCTACGGATTCATATTGTAACATCGCGCGTCGTGCCCCTTCTTCGTCGTTGCCCGCGGCCAGTAGGCCCGCAGCAGCGTCCCAGCTGCTCGCACCTGCCCACGACTCGCTGAACACGCTGGGAGGCCTGAACCAAGGCGGTCTCAAGCCTCCAAGGTCGCCACTGTCTGCAGCGACGCCTGCCGCGAGGCACAGTAGCATCAGCAACCGCGCCGCGCCGACATACGCCCGCGTGCAAGCCATGCTTTCTGGGTTCCTTTATGTATCAGCCAAATTCAATCCCATCCATAAACTGTTATGTAGCACAAGGATGAAGACGCCCAGCCAGTGGGGGTGTGGGCGCTCACCGCCCACCACCCCACGGCCATTTGTAGTCGTGCGGGGCGGTGCGCTTGCCGCTTGTGCGCGATCGCAGAGCCTGCGAGGTTGCTCCTGCAGCTGCCGACACCTTGATTGCGGCTGATAAATTGGTTCGAGTTGTGTCCATCGTTTGATCCCCCACTTGGAGCACAGTTCGGCCGCGATTGCCGCTGCACACGTGTCACACTTTTCCGGCGCGAAACTGCGGAGATTGTTGCTGGGTTGGCGCGCCATCCAAGTTGATTCGCAGCCTTGTTTTGTTTACGGCCCCATTGTCATCCGCCATCCACCGACCACTCCGCCGGCCACGCGATTTGCGACGGTCACTTCTGCACACCACTTCTCCGCGTGAGAACTAGCAGCCCTGCGCACCGGCGCGTGGTGGAGCAGCCCTGATTGAATTCGTTGAAGGCCGTGCGCATACACGCAACCCCGTCGCGCCGCGCGGGCACGCGACAGGAGCATCGCCAAAATGATGCGCTCGCTGAAGGACGCGCAGCAGAGCGTGCTCGGCCGCACGCCGCTGCGCTACCAATTCGAGGTCATCCCCCACGCCGTCGGTGAGCCCCGCCGTCCCTCCCGGCCCCACACCGCCGCCGGCCAGCGCGCCCCGCCCGTCAGTCACCCGCGGACCGCGCGCGCCCGTGGCCTACAATGCATCACGCCGCCACGGCCGGCGCCCTGCCGCCCTCCCCTCCCACACGCCACCCCAACCGCGGCTCCTGCGCCATTTGGCCCCCTGTATCCCGTCCTCAGAGGGCATACCTGATGGCGTCGAGGCCGTCAGCCTGGTATGGGAGAAGGGCTCCAAGCTCTGCTTCACAGACCCGGCGCCCGTGGACCCCGCAACGCGCACCGCCACGTTCAAAGAGGTCATGCGGCAGGTGAGGCCCAGGCACACGCCTCGAAGCGGGCCCGCTATGCAGCAGTGGAGCGCTGTGGTCGGGTGCAGAGACGCGTGCCAGGTGCCGGGGCTGACCGCGCGGCGCAAGCTTTGGAGGGGCGCTCGTGCGGGCGGAACCCCAAGCAGGCACGCTCCGGCGCAGTGGAGCGCCTGCAACCCGCGCACGCTCGCCATCTCTCATCTCACTCACAGTCTCTGAGCCCCAACCCGCGCCTGCAATTCCAAATCCACTTGAGCCACCGCTATGCCACCACGCCTCTTTAACCCCAAGCCGAAGCCACCCATGCCCCGCCCGCCCCCTCCACCCCTCACC